GGATGTTTGGATAAAATGTTTTTAAAATAAATAATTATTTTTAATTAATCATTTTTTTAACTCAAATGTAATTGAACCTTAACTAAAATTCACTATTTTTAATATTATTAATATAATTAAATAATACCACTTAATTAATCTTACACATTACATATGTTAGAGAAATTCATGTCATGCAGACAAACATGGCCCAATACTACACAGCTCATCAGCTCATCCCACTTTGCATATCACCATGCCCACGTGAGAAAAAGGGCAAAAGCCAACACTCTATAACTGGACGTACGAGGCCTTTCTCAGCCTTAGATCATTATGGATATACGTGAGGATCAAGATCATTACTTGGTCATTATTACCAGACCCTCTTCCTTGGAAGCAGTCTTCTTCTTCATAGCACAGGCAAGGAAAGGCTATGACTGGCTTGAGGTATCCAAAACCGTGAAGAAGAAATATACTGCAAAATGGAGATCATTTTGGCTTATTGTTCTTTAAGTTATTTGCATTTTCCTTTGAAGGTATCAGAGTAGGATTCTCCTGCTGCTGATACACCTATCCCTTTCGTCCATTTGTTTCTGGCATTGAGGGACAACCTCTTAACCACAACTCAGCTTTTCAAATTATCTATTCTCAAAAACAACTTTTGATCACAAAATTAGATGAGAACAACTATCTCATATGGAAGCAGCATATACTCATTACCATCAGAGGCTATGGCCTCGAGCATTTCATCATTGTAGGACAAAAAGCCACCTCAGTTTATTCGGTAGCAAGAAAGACAGACTTTTAATACTGAGTTCATCACATTTCAGAGACATGATCAGATTTTGGCTTCATGGTTTCTATCATCCTTATCAGATCTCCTTCTACAAATGGTAGGCCTTCAAATCTCTAAGGAAATATAGCAAGTTTTTTCTACAAACTTTACTAGCCAATCTATAACCAAGCAGATGCAGTTCAAACTGCAGCTTCAAACCATGAAGAAAGGAAATCTAAGTATGAAAGAGTTTCTGAACAAAATGAAAGGATGTTTTGATATGCTAGCTCCAGTAGGGGCTAGGGTCTCAAATAAAATCATATCTTGCACATAATCTCAGCCCTCGGAATTGAGTACGATCTTGTGATGATTACTATTACCTCACCGGCAATGGAAATGTAAATCATGATGGATCTCAATTAACCTTCATTGAACACTACAACTCAAGGAAATCAGGGAGGCAATAGGAACAATAACAACTAATGAAGAGGTAGAGACAATTCTTTTAGAGGAAGAGGAAAGTCTAGAGGAGGAGAGGAAGAGGTGGAAGGTTTCAAGGAGGAAAAACTGTGTGTCAAGTTTATTGGGTTAATGGCCACAGAGCTGATAGGTGCTGGTATATATTTGACTCAAACTTTGTCCCCTCAAATCAGCAACACAACGTACCTTCTCAGAATAAGAATAGTGGTGGTTTTCATAATGCACGAAACCCAGGTCTCCATTTGGCTCAGCTACCTCTATCTTCTTCTAGCATCAGTTCAGAAAGTCAAGTTGAATCTCTTTGGTATTCAAATTTTGGGGCTACAAACCACATCCCAAATGATTTGAGCACCCTCCCCAATGTTTCAGAATATCAAGGAGTCTATAGACTTCATATGTGTAATAGAGTTGGTGAGTCTACCTGGTATGAAAGATCCCTCGACCGTCTCGGTTCGATCAAAATCTATTGTCCTCACCGGTGGTTGGCCTTCAAGACCTGCAAAAACTCAACATTGTATAATGTAACAGTGGGTATACATCACTCTCTTATATAGGGAGATGATACCTTGTTGCCTACGACTGCCTGAGTGGACTACCCAGGTGCCTGTTCGTACTGCCTGAACTACCCCATTTTGTTAGTCCACTGTTTTGTATGTTTTCTTGTTATTTTATGAGTTTTTTAGGGTTTTACTTGTGTTCGTTTCAGTTTATTTTAGGTTTTTCCAGTTCATTTAGTCGTTTTTGCTCGTTTTTTTAGTTTTTATGTCATTTTGGTTTCTTGTGCTTTCTATTTCTATTTTTATCTTTTATTTGGTAGGAAATTGCATTTTAGAGAGTTGCCAAAAAAAATCACTGAAAAACTCGCCGAAGAGTTCCCAGCCGGTCGGCTTGGTTAGCGCCCGGTGGACCCGAGACCGCATAGACCCGTGCGTCCTCAGGCCAGCCCACGCTCGTGTCTGGCCAGCGAGACCCATGCCTGCTATGCTGAGAGACCAGCTCACTCACGCACGCCTTGCCCCAGCGAACATTCTAAGCTAGACCCGCTCGTATAGATCCGCTATACCACTCGCCAGCACCGCATCCTAGTGACTCGTCCATCTGTGCGCTCACTAGAGACTCGCCTGCCAGTCGCCCCGGAGACCCGTGCGCCGCACGCCTGCCAAAGGCCCTCCTGCAAGCATCTCGAGCGACCAGCCCACCAGCGATTTGCTAGGACAGCCACACACGCTCACCCGCACAAGAGACCCTGCAAACATTCCGCCCAACGACCTTGTTCGCACACTTTCGCCTAACAAATTTTTCTCCCATGACCTTAGCCAGCGAGTTATTTTTTAGTAAATGTGTATTTTCTAGTATGTGTTTTATCTAGTAGTATAAAAAGACTTGTGCATGTGTGTTTGGGCATCATTTCTCATTTGCAAAAAAATTTCTTCTTAGTTTCTCTCTCTCTCTCTCTCTCTCTATTTTATTTTTCTCTCTAACGGCTCCAAGATGCAATTTTTATTGTAATAATTCTCCGTCAACATTACAACTTTTCGCCTTATTTCTTCTCCTGGATGCTACTATAGACTGTTTATTGTATTTTTGTACTTATTTCGTGTGTTTATGTGCTTGAGTTTAGTATTTCTAGGTCTGTTTTGGTGTCGATCGGTCCATTTTATCGTGTTTCGTGCATTTTTTATTCTCGTATAATGTTTTTGTGGTTCGGTGTATTTTTCTTATCTTTTT